TTGAATAAGGTTCCGTTCACCGAAAGGTTAATTGTGGAACCAAAAATGGTTCTTCTATGCTATGGCATCGCTGCCAAAACCCCCTTTCGAAACCTTTATTTTGAAGAGTGTTTAAGAAACACTAGGTTTCACGGATACTAAGGGTTCTTAACGGAATAGTTCATTTCAAAATGAAAATTGTCATCGATTACTCACCCTCAAGTTGTTCCAAACCTGTATAAATTTCTTTCTTCTGCTGAACACAAAAGAAATTATTTTGCCGGTAATCAAACAGTTGATGGACCACATTGACTCCATAGTTCATTTTGAAATGAACTATTCCTCTAATGGAACCTTTATTTTTAATAGTGTTTTATAGTCTCATTCATTAATATGCTGTGTTCCATAGAACAAAGTCACTTTATTCGCATTCTTCCTTTGAAAATGAATAGTTCATATGGGTGGATCAACACATAATAACACAAATTTTCTAAATGACAATAAGTAAAATGACAATATAAATAAGTGCACTCTAAATCCATGTCTGTGTTTACCTTTTCCTTTAGGAGATCCGTGAGCTGCAAAACCAGATGCAGGAGAGTCAGGTGCAGATCCAAATGGACATGTCCAAGCCTGACCTGACTGCCGCCCTCAGGGACATCCGTATGCAGTACGAGGGTATTGCTGCCAAGAATATCGCAGAGGCTGAGGAATGGTATAAGTCTAAGGTCTGTCTCAGAGATTTTAGAAATATGCAGAGAAACAATTCAAAGGCTATATTCAGATCTATGTCTCTAGACAAGGAGTTTGAGCTAAACTATTTTGTTCCACCCACAGGTGTCAGATCTGAGCCAGGCAGTAAACAAGAATAATGATGCTCTCAGACAATCCAAGCTGGAGACTATGGAGTTCCGTCACCAGATCCAGTCCTACACTTGTGAGATCGACTCTCTCAAGGGCACCGTAAGTCCTTAAAAATCCTGCACTTGGGCTCTAAACCAAGTTATTATTTCCCAGCCAAAACGAATATTAGCTCAGCCTTCACACCTGAATCTTATTCACCTTATTACTAAGTCATTAATATGTTTCCCCTGGTGGTCCATGAGTAAATTTGATTAGGTGAGTAACCAACAGTAATGGTGCACTGTGTCGCTAGAAATCTACTGAGTTCATCCTCAGTTTTTATAATTACTCTACTCAGTTCATCTCAACTATGGGCTTTCTTTTCCTATGTACACCCGTTTCACCCCACTTCCACTCCCACTTTATCTAACTTTTTGTCATTCTGTCTGTAGAATGAATCTCTGATAAGGCAAATGAGGGAGATGGAGGAAAGGCTGGGTCGCGAGGCCGGTGGTTATCAGGACACCATTACCCGTCTCGAGTCTGAGATTGCAAAAATGAAGGATGAGATGGCTCGCCATCTCCGTGAGTACCAGGATCTGTTGAATGTTAAGATGGCACTGGATGTGGAGATCGCCACCTACAGGAAGCTTCTGGAAGGAGAGGAGAGCAGGTAAGATATAGAAGGTGTTTTGCAAGATTTCACTTATTGTTCTTAACTGATTTAACAAAGATGATTTAATATTGTTATTATTTATCTTGTTTTCAGGATCTCTCTGCCTGTGCAGACCTATTCTTCCTTGAATTTCAGAGGTGAGTTCTTTAAAAGAGAAATTAGCCTACTGTCACGCTCCTTAAAAGATTAGTTGCTACTCACCATCTGACTATTTCTTTTTAGTCCACACAATGAAAGTCATTGGGGTTCCAAACCAATTTGGGTGACACTTTAATTTGATAGTCCACTTTAAACATTCTACCAACTCTAAGTAACCTTACAACTATGTCAACTCTCAATGGGGTATTAGTAGACTGTCTGCTTATATCTACTAACACTTTATTTTGATGGTCCTCTAGCAGACATTCTACAGATAATAAGAAAGGTTGCATGCAAGTACATTTAAAACCGAACCTAACAATCTGCTAATACTCTGAGAGTTAGTTGGCATGTAGTTGCAAATAAATGAGTTAGCTGATGACATGTAGTTACTTAAAGTTAGCCTACTTATACCCAACACATACCCAACTTTTAACATGAAGAAAAAATCTTTAGTGTTCCACTGTAGAAAGATAGTGATACTGGATTGAAAGAAAATGAGCCTCAATTAAAGATTGTTGAGCAAACCTCCTGTCTTTTTCATCCACAAGGGGGGGCAAAACCATTGTGTTTTTTTAATACTTCAATCTCCTTTGGCTTTGTTGTTTTTCGAGTACATCAACTGATATCAGTGATGCAAAAGATGATATCAGTAATGCAGATGCAGTATTCATGTATTTACTATGTGAGGGTGAGGTTGTGTATTTTGTTGCCATAGAAACCAGCCCAGAGCAGCACCACCAGCAACAACAGCGTGGATCTGAAGTCCACTCTAAGAAAACAGTTCTGATCAAGACCATTGAGACCCGAGATGGCGAGGTAGGCCTAATATAAATAAACACTTGCTAACAGACTAGTAACCACCTGATACATTTAGTCAGTAATAATGGAATATAGCTACAAACTATCCAGTCTCAAAAATGTGTTATAAACGCACATACTGTAAATAATCATTATCATCCAAATCATTTTCTATTTTACTCTAGACTAGGACAACTAGTAAGGGCATGAATGCCCTCAGTGCTCAGTGTGTAAGTTAAGCTATGGCCTGTTTCTACAGTCCTTTCCCCAAACACATTCCCCCCCAAAATCCTGTTCCCTATTAACCAGCACTGAGTTGCACAACAGAGTACTCCATGTACAGTATCACTGTTAATATCTGTTAATATTCTGCTCTGCACAGCACACATGGGAAACTTCATTTATGAAAGAATATGTCTTGCACAAGCCCAGTATTGATTTGCAGCAGAAAGAGAGCTGTTTTAACTTATTGAAAAACCTCTCCCAACCGTCTCTGTTCCTTGTTATGGAGTATCACTTTTTTAAGCACTTTTGTGTTTTCCCAGCATGTGAATCATCTGTATCCTATCCAGACACCCTCTCTCTAATCATTCCCTTTTTTTTTTTTTCAATCCCTTCAGGTCGTCAGCGAGTCCACACAGCACCAGCAGGACATCATGTAAAGCCTATGAAACAGATTGAATTTCATAGAATCCCTTTCCCTAAGTTACATTTTCACAGTTGGCCTCAGGCTTTTTCTGCACACACCCAGTATTATCATGACCCATTACTGCATGTGTGGATGACGCACAAAGACAAAAGGAAAGTGAGCTGAAGAACGAGAGGGAGAACAAGCGAAATGGCGCAATACAAATACTGTTTGGAGTGTAAGTGGAGTCTGAAAGTGGCCAGTTGATCTCAGAGTTTCTGTTGATGAATGTACGTGTGCATGTGTGGTTGGGTCATAATGGGAAAATCTGAGAAACTGTGTTCCACCTCTACAAAAACACAACAATAAAATGCTCTGTATTTTCCTCTTCTAAAATTGAAGGCTTCTGTGCTTTTGTATTAAACTCATACATTGTATGAGGTAATAAGTCAATTTCTGGGTAGACAACAACAAAGGTATTGAACATTTCCACTATTATTGCCCAGGCAAAAAGGTTAACATTGACATTTTGTAAATTAAATATTAAATAGCCTTACATTATGGAACAAAAATATAAATGTAAAATATAAAACAAACAAAATTACATAAAATTACAATTTACAGTTTGCAAAATGATTAAATGCTAAATTATGAAAAACACCCTTATTCATTATTTTTCAGGTAGGCCTTAGAGCGGACGTGCATACACAACGGGGGTTGTGAAACGATCAAGATATTTCATAGTAAAATCCAACCTTCTAATTCAGAATCCAGCTTTTTGTTTCTGAGCCGAATGCAGTAGCATTTGTGCAGACTCACATCACAACAACCTTCACTCTCTCACTTTACGGTTACCTCACTTTATCCTGACAGGCTGAACGCATCATCACAACCTTAATGAGACTCTTTTATTAGCATCAACTTTGACCTTTAAAAACCTCCAGGGCTACGTTGTGTTTCAGGCTTACATGTCTGTTTCAGTCAGCGCAAGGAAGGTTTGAAAAGAGAGGGGAATGCAGCTAAGCTGGGAAAACCAAAACCATTTTGGTTGTGTATAATGGCACATGAAGGACTACAAAGATAGACATGAACCTGAATGCAGTCTTTTCTTATCTCCGGTTTCGAAAAATGGTTGTTAGTATTGAAAGTCAATGGATTGAAGATTCTCTGACAAGAAATGTCACACAGAGACCTCAAAAGTACAAAATGGGCTATAATTGGGTGCATATATTCACAGTAAAACAAGCTACAGATAGTGTCTTCTAATCAAGAGAATCTAGACCACCACAGAAAGCATATATTCTGAGCACGCAGTCATAAATGAAAGAGAAGCGTTACCAGTTCAGCCTCTTTGTCTGAGACACAGTCAGCATAAACCAGACTGCCAGCCTATTTTCCCTTCTAAAAGACAAATGTAGCCATTGCAGAAAAGCAAGAAGATATTTAAATGTCTTGTTTAAATAATTCACTAGTTAAAACTATCCAAAAGCTGATAAGATGCGAATCGAATAGAGTACAAGTGAGTATTTCTGTATTTTGGAAAAACTGCAATTCCGAGACATCTCAGATTAAATGAAACCACATCTGTACTGTAGCTTTTTCCATCAATTTGCTACTAACATATTAGGATGACAACAGTAATCCATTTTAAAGTGCTTTTTCATTTTCATCTGTGTAAATGAATTCTGCCCCTGCAGGGATATGCACATTTATTTCAAAAATGGAAAATTGTGTTTTGCATCACAGAGCTACTTGAGCATGTTTTGTCTTTATTGTGGCCGCAAACCCCAGTATCTAGTTCACGCGATTTAATATGTTTCTCACTACGCCTCAAAGGCATCTGTGTTCTTTGCCATCTATCTGCCATCTTCTTAAAAAACAACAACAGCAGCAGCAGCAGCAGTGTGTTAGGAGAAAAATGGACACATACACATGTTTGACTTCAGGAGCGCAACATTTATGGTTATCAGTACTGTACAGACACATGCTTAGGAAGAGTAATAATAATGGTCAACATCAATTTAAATACATAGAGAGCTCCACTTGAAGTCTTCATCTAATAAATTAGAAATAAATTATTACAAATGACTATCAATGGGACAATTAAAAAAGACAATTCTTCAGGACACAGATGTAACCACTGATTAGAAAAAGAAAAAAAATGAATCAAAGCACTAGCAATAATACAGAATCGGATGTAAGCATAATATACATTCAGACAATGTACAACATTTACAAGAGAGCCAAGCTGTCACTTTAAAAGACATGGTAAACAGAGAGGAATTTAAGCCTTTGAGCCCTTTCACTACTTCAGAGTGAGAAAAAAAGATTAGACTTTGACTCTTCATTGCTCCCACAGACCTGATAAAACAGAGGGGAAACTGAGTGTGAAATCACCCTGCATCCAAATATGAAGGTACATCAGAAATTAAAAGACAGTATGACAAAGGCTTGCACGCACATACACCACCATCTGTCAATATCTCTCCATTTCATGCTTTATGCAAACTCAGAAATACACAATCTTTTTCTGAGAATTCCACCATTGTAAATCTCTTCCAGCCTTCTTAGGCATCTTTCATTAATCCCGTTCAAAACTCTATCATAGAAGACAAGGACACTTAAATCATCCACACAAAACCCTTAGTGTTCACAGTTTCATCGTTGGGGCTCCTCTCGATGCCACGGCCCCTGAGATTTAACTGGGAGCAAACTGGGTCTCTGGATACTTTTAACTACGGCTTAAATGGATATAACATGTTGTGTTGAAAAATGTATATCAAGAGCAATGGTGGCACTTTCCCCACATGCATTGGCTAACAAAGATAAATGCACAAAACATCTCAATATATGCTTGTGCAATCGGCTCAGATTGAACAGAGATTGTTTTGACAGAATTTGTGTAGGCCCTGACACAGAGCAGATAAAGCCATTTGAAACAGTTCTAAAGAGATAAACACTTCCCTGCCCGTACTGTAAACATAACATTATCTGAAACAGCTTCAGAAATTAACAGGAAGTTTAAATCTGTCAACTGGATATACGAATAGTCTGGCTAGTAGATGCCGTGCATGTTTTATGACAGTTTAGTCGCTTAAAAGCCAAGGCCGTATTTGGTCCCATAATGGATCTCTTTTGAAATGGCTGCTGTGGTAATGAGAACATTCTTCTCGGACGGAGTGAAACAGCAGCCTAATTATGGGAAGAAGAGCCTCGGAGGAGCAGACACACATACCATCTTCAGCAATATAAAATGGAGTAAATTGCAAGAGAACAGAGCCCATTGTTTTGTAGGTAAATGATCCATTTGCTGCAACTTTTCTGCCATTTTAATTGAAAGAAAATCATGGGAGTACAGCAAATCCATTTGGGTATGAAAAACCCGTCAGCCATTGTGACGGAGGTGGTGACCACATGCTCTAGATTTGATCCGGCCGCAGAGATCTCGGAATGGTTTGTTCAGTGCAATTTGTGTTCCAGTAGAAGATCAGCCTCTCACTGCGGGGCCTGTGTGGGCTGTTAGGGGAACTTGGGAGCCATAGTCATAGTTCAAATCTACAACATGTGAGCCGCCCATGAACTTGCCATGAGAGTAGACCCTCCTCTCTGTACGTCTGTCACGGAAGTTCTGGATGTAACTCTAAAAGAGAGAGTGAACATGTAACCAATCTCTGATGAATTGTAAAGATAAGCATAGAGGTTTTGCAGATCTGGTTTCAAGATAATGTGAACTGGCAGATGTTGTGGCAAGAGAGACAAACGCTTACCGGAGAAAGCACATCTCCATCGAAGCGGCGAATGGTGTTGGGTTTCCGGCGGTGGGTGGGCTCTGGATGCTGGAGTTTGGGTGGAGGGTTGGGGGGATGAGGGATGGTCTGAGGGGGGTGGTGGTACTTCTGTTGCTGTGGCGGCTGTTTCTGTGGCTTTTTCTTTTTTTTCTTTCCGCACTCCTTTCTCACTTCCTTTTGACGAATTCGCATTAACTGCACTCGTCTCTGCTGGTGATTGATGAAGACTTTGGGAAGAAGAAAAGGAAGGAATTATCTGTGGGAGAAATGTTCTTATATGGCTCTAGTACATCAGCTCACAACTGCAAAAACAGAGGCGTTATTCTATGCTCTAAAGACACTATGCTGTGTGTACTGGCTGGGTTTCTCAAACAGTGGTCCAAAGCCAAGCTGATAAACAAACCGTTGAGTGTTTTGACACATTCTGCTCTGAACAAGGCTAAATCGACATTCTGTTCTCTGTCATTATTAAAAACAGACGGATTATTTCTGCCCATTCAGTCACTCTGTTGTGCCTCAACAGCTTCGTGGCCCATCTGTCAGGGAATTCATGTAATGATCCTTCTCTCTCCCTCTCCACCTCAGAAAACACTCCTCCCACTCTCGTCTCCATTCTTCTGGCCCTTCCTCATCACGGCCCCCTCCCCCATTCCACCAAACAAGGGCCCAGCTTGTAACCATGGCAACCACCCCAGCGCAGCTCACTGTCTGTTTTCCCAGTGTGCACTTTAATTCAGAATTTCAGCATAACGTTTTGTTCAGCAAAGTAAAGTATATGTACTTTTAATAGAGAACCATTCAAGGTCCTGTCGATGTCTGGCAATGTTTTACAATTCTGTGTGGTCTCATCAGTCGTAGAGAGTGTGACTTCTACCCTTGGAAATTTGATGCATCCCCTCATGCAGTGCTTAAGATGTCGGTGGTTGCTTTCTATAAGACAGTGATGAAGCAGTTTAAAAGTCCCCATTCATGGATTTTCAGGTCAGGCCTTCCCATTGAGTCAATATGAGACTCTATGGGAGCCTGTATGGAGGGCACAGCTAAGCCAGTCTGATCTCCACAGGATCACTACCTCTGGAAGTAATTAACTAGGACATCCATAAATAGATAACCACCAAAAACCTCATCACCCCTAAACTCCCAGTATATACAAGGGGATTTCAGAAAGACATTGTTTTAATGAAGTCCATGTAGGGACATCGTTAAACATTTAAATTCTGTCATCATTTACTCCCCCCTCATGTAGTTCCAAACCGATATGGCTTTCTTTCTGCAGCAGAACATAAAATAAGACATGTTTTTGTTATGTGAATGTTTCGGATTTTTTCTCTTCATAATGTGAAAATCAATCTCCACAACTTTCAAGATCCAAAAAGGACATAGTGTAAAGGTAGCATGAAATGAATCCATATGCCTCGACTGGTATATTACCTCAGATCGAAATTGAAACCTGTATTCACTTCTTTTGGAGCTTGACATTTTTGGACCCCACTGAATTTCATAAGAAACCAGTTAGAACTTTTCTAATTGTTCGACTAAAGAAAATCATACAAGTTTAAAACAAAATGAGACTGAGAAAATAATGACAGAATATACATTTTTGTGTGAACTGTTTCATTGTAACTAATGGTAATGTTACTGTCACACCAGGGGTGTCCAATATTGATCCTGAAGGAGTATCAAAATTGGCTTCAATCTCGGCTTGCTGCGATAGTTGGTGTTACCGGTGCTCAACCGCAACACCGGTTAAATCACCTGCCCGACCACCGCTTTAATTGTACGTAGTAGGCTAATAAAAATAATTTAGTTCAGTTAGAGAACAAACACTACTAAGGATGCATCATCGTCACTTTTTCCATAATGAGTACAATACCGATACTTTCATTTCTGGTACTTTTTCGATACCAATGTATTTTCAGTGCATGTAATTTTTTTTTATATGTAGAGGAACTAAAAGAATATGAATCGCATTAGTTTGCTTAAATTGCTTAGCAAATATGTATATTTACCTTTAGTTATGTTCATGCTTAATTAAGACTGCTAAAATGTATTGTATGACTTTGTTACTTCAGTTCATCATATTTTATCTTTCATTTACTAGCATAGCACATATTTACAGCTGCTCTAAGGACTAAGGATTAGGTTAGCGGTTCAAATGTTTAGATACCAGTGATATATTACAATTCTCTATTCCAATTTTGATACCAGCCTAGTTACTGTAAATTTAAAACATTATAAAAGACAAGTGAGCAGTCGGTAATAAAATAAAACTGTTTTGGGGTTTTTCAGGTAGGTTTAAAAGATGATTTTAGGTACAGAATTTGAATAAAGTAATCAAATGTGAAATAACACTGCATATTCATCACTCTATAAATTAAATATAAATGGATATTTATAAAGAGAAGTAAGTGATTACTTTGTCCTTTGTTCGAGTAACCTTATAACAACAGTAGATCAGTAGAACAGTTTATTATACAGGTACTTGCGTTTCTCTGCATCCACTACCTAGTGAACTATTTTTTTTTTAGCAATTTGCACAAGCCCTGTTGTCGGTGCGCACACAAAAATCTGTGCTGATGATGTAATTTAGGTCACATGAAATCTCCATGAGCCGTAGCGGAAAGCGGACAAGACGATTGTACTTATGGCTTAAGCCACAGTTTTGTCCCTTTCATTATATTTGACACATGCCAGCCAGACTTACCTTCTGTGTGTGAATATCCTTCAGCTGTGACCTTCCACTGAATAAGAACACCCAGCAGCGCCAGCACAGGCCAGACTCCCATGACCACCCACGTGAACCAACACACGGGGCGAGGTGGATCCACTTTCACCCTCTCATAGATATACCGTGTCAAAGCGAAGAGCTCAACAAAATAATCCACAGTCACAGTCACCACCGCTGACCCGAAGACGGCGGTGGAGATGGTGGTGAAACAGCGCTGCCACTGCAAAGTGAGCACAGCAAACAGCATGCCCGAACCCAGCAGCACACCCAGGGGAAGCCACACTGTCCTCGGGTGGTAAAACTCCTCCAGAACCACAAGAGAGGCGAGGGCGACCAGTAAACCCAAGAGAAGTCCAACCATGAAAAGCCCCACGCTGCGGACCAGCATGGTGACCAAACCGCATAACGTGCCAATGCCCAGGCCGATGCCCACACTGGCCTCCACACTTAGTTGAGTATCCATGACCCTCTCCTTATAGCAGAGCATGAAGATGACGATGGAACCAAACATTAGACCCGTGAGGAACATTACAGCCTTGAAGCAGCGGTACCCTACGGGTGGAGAGGGAAGGATAGGGGAGGAGCAGGTGGGAAAGAAATAGATGGTTTTAGAAGAGAACATGATATTATCATTAATCAGGATATCAGATATCAATAAGAATAGTAGTATACAGTATATTAGGGCTTGCAAATGAAACAATCTCAAAACAGCATCGCAATAAATTATATGTTGATAACAATGATAATCTGTGGGCAGTTTTACCCAATATGGATAATTCAAACAGCCCATCACACAGTAGAAATCAGTTTTCAACTTGCACGTCAAAGTACATGTCCATTTCCTATATGATATATAATATATAACTATTGTATGCAATTAGTAGGCTATATTACCATTGTATATTAAAAAGTGCTTTATGTAATTTCCATTTACATTTTTATTCATTTATCCAAAGCAGCTTACAATTGCTATATCAGAGGTCGCTTGCCTCTGGAGCAACTAGGGTTAAGTGTCTTGCTCAGGGACACATTGGTTCTCTCGCAGGATTCGAACCCGGGTCTCTCACACCAAAGGCATGCATGTGTCTTATCCACTGCGCCATCACCACCCCAATTTACTGTAATATTAGTGTTATTTTCATTACATTTTTTCAGTCATTTTGTGCAGAATCTTACTTTAATGCTTTGTTGAAAATTGATTTTTATACTTTAATTTGAATAGATTTAGAAATTAGAAATTTAATTGATCTTTTAAAGATGAATTAAATTGTTCAGGTTTAACGAATTCATTCAATTATAAATAATACTTGCTGATGATAAATTTGGATTGAATAATAAAACAAAACAAAAAGAACAGATTTCAAAGACTACTTAAAAAAAAGCTTATTCTGTTAAGTTTGTACTTTCCTTGCCCCTTATTGGTATAAAATGAATATTGAGATGAATAATATGGGGGAAAAAATATGTTGAGAAATGTTTCGCCTATACATTAAACGAGATACGAAACGAGACCGTTGTCGGTCGCTGGGCCTATTTTTAGAGATAGTCAACCATTCCTGAAACAGGTCTACTTGAAATCCCAGGCATAAACATTTTATTCTGAAACATTTAAGAGGGATCACCAGAATTGCATTGAGTAACGGTGTTTGATGCTCCGTGCCATTAATGTCCATTTCGTTGCTACAGTAACTGTAAAAAAGTAGCTTTTTAAATCACCAGAGCCTTTCAAAAAGCATTGTGCTTTTCACTGAGAGGTTATCTGCTTTCAAATGATGTAATTAAAAACAGTTGATAATGCCCCAAATTGGCAGCAGAAGGGCAAGAAGAACACATAAAATGTTTTAACATTTTAAGTCACATTGGGGCCTGAATGCCACAGAGAAGAGAGTCTATGCTGCTGTTTGTCACAGTTAAGATGTCCTCGATCTCCTCTCTCACTCTCTCTCTCTCTCTCCAAGTAATAGGCAGTGAAAGCAAATTTCACAGTCAAGTGAAAGTGATAAAGCTTATCTAATAGAGAGGGACATAGATTTGTCACCCTTGTCTGGTTGTCACATTCAGATGGTTATTATGTGAATTAAATTTGGCCATAACAACCACAGCTGAAACGATGTTTGTGATAACGAGACAAAGACATACCCATGCATTCAGGTCATGCCAGAATCTGGGCTCGTTCTGAGTAATACTTCTTATGTAAATCTGCGTTTCTCCAAACCAGTTTGATCTACTGTCTGCAATATTCTAAATATAATCAGTTAATTCATTCTTTGCAACCTACCGAAGAAGCAGTATATGATGCCAAAGAGGCAACACATGGAGCAGACGACAGACGGGACCACCTCATAGCGCCGTTCAATGTCCTCATCACAGTTGAACAGACGGTCTGGACTCCCATCTTGAGATGGTGGGGAGAACTTAAAGGCCAGAATCTGGGCAGTGGACGTCATGCTGTCAGTGTGTGTTAGAGAGCGTAACGTATCTTTACGGGAGCCGAGGAAACAGGGAAAGTGGGGTCATGTGGAAGGTAGAGGGTGCAGAGAAGGTTCCCATCCACAGCAATTTGCCTGTTCAAAGAGATAAGAAGATATTAACTCACGAGAGTCAGAGACAGTTTGACTTCACCTGTCAAAATAAACAGGGCATAGACCGATCAAATTTAAAAATTCTCTTTGTGACAACATCAGACATTCCAATGCCAGACAGCTGTCTGAATCCATTCAACTTTTGCGTCAAGTCATATTTTCACTTCATTTAATCGTATAGAATCTTTTCACTCATTTAAATATATAGTGGCATTGCCTGACATTTTAAAAACTGAAATTTGCTATGGATAAAGAACATCTGTCAACACACTGGCACAAAGAGCCCTCAAAAGCTTATTCAAACTGCCTCAGTACACATAATAAGTGAGAGAAAAAACAGTATTATAATTCTAAACTAAAGAGTGCTTTATATTAACTCAGTGAATGTATGAGCTGCTTTAGTTGACAACAATTTAATTTGCTAGTGTGTACTTCAAAGAAGTATGGTGAGTACTTTTTAATGCATAAGCCCAAAGGACAGGACAAAATATTCATGTTTTACAAAATATTAATTTAAGATTTTCCACAGAACTCCTTTATTTTAAATTAAACATCCTAACACAAAATAACACATCTCTATTGGTGAGAGAGTTTGCTTGCTTTAAAAAAAAAAAAAAAGTCCATTACATCATTCATGGTCCATTGCTACGGTATGACTGAAGGGGGAAAACTGCCTCATTTAATTTATAATGTAGGTCCCTTCTGCGATACAGAAGTTAGGCAATATACTGTATCAATTTATTTTTTATAGGGTTTAGTGCCTTTTGGGATGGTAATTTAATTGCTGAAGTTTGAATCACAAAGCTAAATTTTTATTTGTTGGTTCCCTCTGCATTTCAGGCAACCTTTTTGATTCAGTCGTGCAATCCCAAACTGAAACAAACTACTGGGATGGAATGAATAAAATACATTTTGAATGAATTTAATATTGGTACAGGAAACCTTTCAAATAACCTCTCTAAAAAAACACATCAAATATCTCACTAGTCCTTTGACAGAGGCTTTGAAATTACTTTTTCCAACTTAAAAATCTGTTGAATGTAGCAAAGACAAAAATTATTATGCCGCTACACATATCTTTGACTTAGACTCTGGGGTATTCATTAGTTAAATTCAAACTAAAATCTCTCAGATATTTGACAGACACTTAAATTTGCCCTTTGGCATTTACTTCAGATCTGTCAGAAACAAATATGCTTCATTAATGAACGTTGACATTATTTTCATCAGTGACTAAAAAGCTGAACTGAAAAGTCAGTGCTTTTTTAATAGATTAATGTAAATGGTAAAAGCACCATTTCCAGCAACAGTCCTGTTTATTTACATCCTGATGCATATTTCAGAAAATTATAGTTCTTCAACACTGTGACAGAATGCTAGAGGTAACCTCATATCGGCAGATTTGGCAATGAAGCAAGAGATTATTATTGCAAGTCGTTTACTAGACGCAAGATAACTTTTGAGTTATGAGAGATTCTCAAGTGCAAATGAATGTCGTTTTGTGCAAGAAATGCTATAGAAAACAAAGCCTTTTTTTTATAACTGGGATAACACTTCCTGTTTGTTGTCATAACAACAGTGTAATTCTGGGATGCTACAAGTTAAACACTACTTGCGTGAGATGAGGGAGAGCGACCTGCCACCATGGCAACAGCCTGAGAACCAATCAATGTTTAAACCTGCCTTACAGTTTTCCCAGTGCTGGTGAGTTATCTCTCCCCTTCCCTTCTGCACCCAAGATGTGCAAATAACAACTTGGCCCACTTAGGAAGATATAGAAAGAAAAAGAAGGAAATCAAGGTAACGTGATCAGAAAGACCAGCTTAAGCTGATATCTGTGAACCAGCTGGTTTCTGCTGGTCCAAACTGGTCCAAGCCATGCCATGTGGGATGGCAATGTTACTTGCCTTTTGCATTCGCAGAGTAAAAGAATGGTGGACAGAAGATTGGATGATATTATTTGTTTTATCCATACTTTAGTGAATTGTTATTAATACATTTACAACTAAAATATTGATATTTTTATGTAAAATGATGTCTGTAAATATTATTGGCATCACAAATGAATTGTAGTCATGTTAAAAAACACAAGATATATAGAAGATGAGAGAGAGCGAGAGAGATAATTTTATTGTTTGCCTTCATCCATGCATGGGTAAACTTGCAGCACAGTTCAGTCTTGTGTTACAACACGGAAAAGTGAATTGCTCTGGACCAACACTCCACAACAACTCTCAGCACTCACTCAGGCGAAAAATGTATCACTTCAATGGAGAGACAGAAAAGGATAACTTTACATGAAATTTCAGCACTGGAACAGCCTGAGAAAACCACTTTCAGATATTACTCCATCTTTCTGATGGTACCTTCGGTATGTCCCATTGCACTTCAGATCGTAGGGAACGAGTCGTTGTCTGCCTCAGGTGTAGATGTCAGTCATGATGTAGAACAAAAGGCTCTATTGAGCTTGCGACTTCACATGAATATTTTACCAAAAGGCCCGCAGAGAGAATGTCAGCTCGACCTGTGTATATATTATGCACGTGGTATGTACTGTGGCCTGCTCATTAGATGGAAAATGGCAGATCAATGTAAAAAGCTGCCCAACTGAACAATAACAGACAATATAATGAGCTTGAGTACAGCCTATAGAGACTGTCTCTGAAACTAGCTGCCTTGCTTGAGAGCACAAATAACGACTTGGGATAAAAAACAGAATGTGAAAAGCCCAGATCTTTGCTACAAACAGACACATTTGTCAGCATCTACCGGTAGGTTAACTGTAAGAGCAGCCACTATAAGTAAATGATAGTCCTGAAAATGCGTCATGCCATTACGCACATCAGGCAAGAATCAAAGCTGACAGGATAAGGGGTAACAATCCAGCTGGAAACAAAACCAATTACATGAGCTGAAAGCAAAATGAGCTAAATTATAAAAACAATCCCTTTAAAACAGCTACTCTCTCACTAAAAGGGATAGTTCACCCATAAAAATGGCAATTCTGTAATTTTCTCATCTTCATGTCACTCCAAAACTGTATGACTTTCTTCTTTCTGTGGAACATATGAACCTCATTGGTTCTTGCAGAAGCTCAAACGTGTTGCGTAACACAAGAATGAAACTCATTGGTTCTTGCTGAAGCTCAAACGTGCTGCATAACACAAGAATGAACCTCACTCGTTCTCGCACGTCAAGCGAACATGAACATCCGTTTACCAAAACTGATGTTTGAGTTGATGAATGTTTATATGTGAATGAAAGCCTAAATTAAATCTGTTTATCATACAAAGCAATTGTGTTTCTTCAGAATTTTTTAGACTAAGCCGCTCAATTCATATGGATTCGTTTTACAATCTCTTTATGAACTTTTTTGAAGCATCAAAGTGTCAGTTGCATAGCAGTCAATGAAGGGACAGAAAGCTCTCAGAAGTCTAATGGGTTTGGAACGCCATGAGGGCGAGTAATTAATGACAGAGTTTTCATTTTTGGGTGAACCCAAGTGTATCCCATTAAATATACACTTTCTCAAACTTTTACACTTTTCTTAATCATTTACTCACCCCTTTCGTCTTTCCAAACTTTTATGAATAAATTTCCTCAGTGGAACACCAAATAATATATTTTTAAGTATGTTTCAGCCGATTTTCTGATAAGAATATCAGTAACTGGTTACTGATATTCTGGTTACTGATATGTAAAATGAGCCTATTTCCGAAAAAATGTGGAGTATCCCTTTAAGGTCACATATTCTGCGCTGGTTTTATGGGAAAATCTACGTAATGAAAACAATGAAATTAGACAAAATATTTCATAAATCAAAGGCTGAGAAATGTGTAGGACTTTGCGAGTGAAGGTTGTTTAAACTTGTTCTGTGAGAGAGCACAGTGTTGGCCTAGATATCGCTCATATACACATTAATTTCAATCCCACTATGTCAGAAACACATCCAAGAGCTGTAGAAAGAAGCCTCAATAATCCTTCCACACACTACACTAAACTCTGAATAAAAACACCCCATTCATTTACTCCCTGCAGAGCACTTGCAGGTGTGGAAGGTGGCATCTGACAGGTAAAATGTACAGCTCCTGCTCCCTGAACAACCACTTACGTCTGGAACAGCAAGAGAGCAGATGCCAGCTGAGAGCTTTGGGCAATGGAGATAAAGTAGCATCCTACTAAAGTGTCCATTTCTTATCCTGCTGCAGTCACCATTGTGGTGGTCTCCCTAGCAATGGTTGCCAGGTTAAAGGGACAGACAGTTGTGTAGAGAAATGCGAGAGGCTGAATGGAAGGGGTGGGTGAGCGTGCAAGAGAATGAAAGAGAGGAAGGGTGACGGCGTGTGTCAGTGTGAGATAAAGAGTACGGACACGTATATTTGAGAGAGAAGGGTATGTGCAATTGTATGTGTGAAAGAGAGAGAAAAGGGAGTAAGGGAAAAGGGAGTCTATGTGTGTGCGGTTGGACTGGGTGATTTAGCGGACAAGGCGATGGCCTGCTAAACCTTGTTAATCTTGTTGAGAGCTTCTGCTCTAAATTCCATTAGCACTGGATCGGCTTTCTCCTTCTGCTGACCTGAATGATGGTAGCAATGGGATGGGTGTTTGTATGCAATGTGTACATGGTCATGTGCAAACCAATGTGTGTGTCTTTCAGTCTGGCATTCTTCATTTTTGTCTGGCGGTAGGCTGACTCGGCTATAAACAATGACTAACCCTACAGCGGCCCCACTGTGTCTTACCATTCTGAGTCAGAGATGAGATGGAGCCAAACACAGCAGCTAGTCAACTCTATGAACATCATGACCATATACATGCATTAAACACAGACTGCACATATTGCTTAAAGGATCATTTACTTATTCTTATTTGTTCCAACCTCAAAAGACTCATTCATTTGAAAGTCCACAGCACCAAAACTGTGATGCTTCAAAAAGTTGAAAGAAATCCACTTGTATTTGTCTCAAAGTTTTCTGAAGAGA